CCACCCCCCGCCGATGCCGCCCCAATTACCACGTTCCAACACACACCCAGCAGCCCTCGGGCCCTCCCAGCCACACGCCGGGCCAGAGCCAGCAGGAGATCAGCCGGAAGCAGGTCCCGTGGGCTTCCCACGGCCCCCACCCCACCCTCCAGCAGAGCAGAGTCTCGAATGAGGTGCTTCCCGGAGGACCCCTGCTGTGTTTGCTCCTCTCCCCCTCCCACCTGGGGCAGGGAGGGCGTGGGCTCCTATGGGGGTGCCGCCACAGATGGGGGGCTCCTGCAGCTCGGTCAGGGCCCCTCGCCAACCCACCCTCTACCCTTCTGCTTCCCAGGCAGAGCCGGTCTCTGCAGTCACATGTGACCGGGACTCGGGAGCCCAGCCAGGGGACACTTCAGGGAATCACGTCCTCCAGGGCACGGGGAACCTGGCCAGGGTGGCCATCCCTGAGGGAGATGGGGCCAGGTCCCAGACACGCCCACGGCAGGTGTCTGCACCGCTGCCTGTGGGGAGGCAGCCTCCACCCCCACACAGACCCCACCCTCTGCCTCCCGCCCCAGGAAGTGACCGAGGTAAAGGGTCCCCTGGGCCGCAACTCCCTCTCTGAAAGGGTCCTGCCCCAAAGACCAGCGGTGGCCTCGGGTGAGTGAGGGTCAGACCCTCTGAGCCGAGCTGAGCCCAGACATGCTGGGAGTACTTCGAGGGTCGTGGTGTGGCGTGCGAACTTGTCCCAGCCCTAAACCTCGGTTTCCCCCTGCGAGGCCGGCCAGCCCTCGGCCCAGGCAGATGCAGGCAGCACCTGCCACGCAGCTGTGGGTAAACTGAGGCCAGGGGCCCTCAGCTCCCGCGCTGTCTTCCTCCTGAAATAGACACAATCCTGCCTGTGGCTTCGCCGGGCAGTGGGAGTGAACAGCACACTCGGACTTGGGGGGGCCCGCAGTGCAGGGCGAGTGCGGAGGGGTCCATCTCAGCATTACTGCGTCTCTGGATGGGGCCGGCCTGCGGACGGGGGTGTGGACACAGCTCCCCTGACCAGGCTCCCCTCAGGGGCAGAGACCCGGCCTGCCACTTCTGGGGGGGCCTGTGACAAAGCCCCCCGTCCTGTCCCGTTGTGAGCAGAAGCCATCCTCCAGGCAGGGACCCCAGGCCTGGGTATGTGGGGACACGGAGCATGCGGCCCGAGCCAGGACGGGCAGGGATTAGGAACCGGAGCCGGCGGGGCTGGCGGGCCATTATGCCACTTCCCTGTGGGGCACCGGGCCCTGGAAACCCAAGCACAGGGCCAGTGATTTTCCACACCAGGCTCCCCCTGCCCCGGTGGGGACCGCGGACGCCCGGCCGGGCACAGCACACGTGCACGGCCCCTGCTACCCTGAGCCCCGAGGTGCGGCTAGGCAGGTGGGGGTCTCTGCTGGGGCCTGGGAAGGTCGGCCGCATGAGCCCTCTGAGGCCCAGGGTGGCCCTAGCACCCTCCTGGCCGGTCGCAGGTCTCAGGTGGGGCTCCAGGCATGGTGACGTCAGGCCACAGGCACAGAGTGCGTGTGGTGGGGGACGGTGGTGGGGGACGGAGCTTGTGGAAGGCAGGGGTGAGGGCTCCGCCTGGCCCGGTGACCGGAGTGCACCCCGCCACCCCTGGCAAGGAGTCTAGGCCCCATTGAGGGGTTCGGCTCCACCATGCGACCCCTGGGCAGTCTTCGCCCACCGAGTGCGGTCATGGGGCTCTGTGACATTGTGACAAACAGGACAGAAGGGAACTGGGAAGTGTCTGGACAGAGCATCGAATGCACTTAGACACGGACACCTACCGCTGATGACACGCGAACAGAGGAGGCTGTGAGCTTGCGAAGGACCCCCCCACCCCGGCATGCAGCCCCCAGCCCTGCTCGCCACCCCCCCACCACGACACAGAGCTGAGTGCAGGGAGACGGCTGAGGAGCCTCCCAGTGGGGCCTCTCTCCAGACCCGGATGGGACCCCCGAGGGCCACGGCCGGGCTGAGGGGCAGCAAGACCCCCATGGGCAGCGGCCAGCCCGGCCCTGCCCCTGCCAGGCCCCACGCCCAGCGGTGTTTACCCTGACAAGACACACTCCCGAGGACCACAGCGGTTTACGGTCCTGCACAGGGAGAGGCCACACGGACGTCACGAAACGCAGCCTGAGATGACTCTCCGCAAACCCTGACTCATCAGGAAGTGAGGGGCTGTGGGGGACAGCCCGGGAGGGAGGCGGGGAGGGAGGGGCCTACACCCGACAGAGAACCCCGAAGACGGCAGGTGAGTCCCCGGGCCCCGTTCTGAGCCACCTCGAGTGAACTTCGTGAGCCAGGCAGGCCAGGCCATGGCACCCAGGTTTTGGTCCAGCACCCGACTAGACGTTGCCGTGCAGGTGTTTTCCATGTGAGCAGACGACCGCCCGACGTGGTGGGCCTCGCCTGATCAGATGAAGGCCTGGAGCCTGAGGACAGAGGAGGAGGGACCTCTACGTCTGACGGTGTGCCAGCCGCGGCGCTGAAGCGGGGACGCGTCTGCAGCCTCGGGCCCCTCGGACTTCAGACTCGCAGCCCCCACAGCCACGTGAGCCACTCCGGATGGGTCTGTCCCTCTCCGAGCCTGGGCCCAAGTCCACTTCCACAGCCCTGGCCTGGTCTCGGTGGGCAGACGGAGGCTGCGTCCATAGAAACTGGGGTTCCCAGCCCCTCTGGACACCCGAGGGAGACCCAGCCCCAACCAGCCATGGGGACAGGGTCTTAGGACTCAGGCCCGGCAAACAAAACACCAGCCACGCCCACCCTGTGTTCACATCCTCCCCGAGACACCAAATGTGGCAAGCGCGTCCCCCTCCTGCACCTTCGAAGGTTTGGAAAGACTGGGGGGTTGCAGGCATGGGCCACCCATCACCTCCCCCGGCTCGCAAGGGTTCATGACAGGACGCTGACCCCGCAGCCCCACGTGTGAGGCGGGGCGGGCAGCCGCTCGGCTGTGTGTTCCCAGTGGGAGTGGGGAGGGCTGAGGCAGCAGGCCGAGCGTGTTGACCCGGGCTCTGCTGGGCAGGCAGGCACTGGGCCAGCCTCTCGCCGTGCTTCAGACAGCGCCTTCGGGCAGTCACCCACCTCGAGACTGGCCCAGGTCCCGTCCTCACCCCCACCATGGTCTGCACCACCCTGGCCGCACTGGGTGACCCCTGCTGGCTGTAGGCCAGCTTCGCAATAGATGTGCCAGAAAGCTTGCTTCTGGGTGGGTGCACAGATGGACGGATGGGCACGTGGATGGGTGGACAGACGGATGGATGGGTGGGTGGGTGGGCGGGTGGATGGGTTCAGTCTTTGTGTGCAAAATTCTATGGTTTTGATATAATGCGCAGTCACGTGCCCACCATTACAGCGTCACGCGAATTTCATTGCCCTAAAAGTACCCCCCATTCGAGTGCCCCCCAAAAGCCTTGGAACTGCCGATCTCTTACCATCATTGTAGTCCGGACGTAAATATACTTTAATGATGAATTTTAAATCTCTCATCGCTAAAATCTAAAGTATCACGATGAGAAACCACGGCTCTGATTTCTCGTCGCAAGAAGAAAACCACTTTGGATTTACCAGTCGGGAAAGTGCAGGACGAAGTGTTGTCTAAAGCTCCAGTTCTAAATATTCTTAAACAGCTTTCCCGAGGTGTCGTGGATACACGATGCACCACACCTGCATCAGAGTCGATTTGCTCCGTTTCGACATAAAGGCGCACCTGACACCATCGCCGCCATCAGACGCTGCGTGTCCGCGGCTTCCTCTCGCCCTCCATCCCTACTCGAGAAGTCGCTGTCCGCGGAGGGCTGGCAGCCCCGGGCTCTCCGCACGCCTCCCTGCCCGCCGTCCCTCACGAGCACCGTCACCCCGAGATCGCCCGGCACCGCCGTGCGGACCGGCCCCTTCGCCTCCGCTGCGGAGCGGCTCCCCGCGTGGGGAAGGAGGTGGCGTGCCCGTTCGTCCCCGAGCTCTGTGGTGGGCTCCGGGCTGTCCCCAGCGTGAGGCCGTCACAGGCGAAGCTGCTCACGGCCACGTCCACCCACAGGGAGGCGCTCGGGGTCTCCCTGCCGCCCGGTTCGACCTCCCCGTCCGCCAACGGTGCCGAGCGTCTCTGCGTGTGCTTCTCAGCCGCCCATGTGTCCTCTTCGGGAACATGTCCCCTGCTATCTGTTGGGTTACGTGCGTGTTAGTTTTTTTCTTCATTGAGCCCAAAGGGTTATTACATGTTTCAGTGACCGGCCCGTTATCAGAGGTGTTCCCCGCGAATATTCTCGGTGGCTTGTCCTTTCGTTCTCGTAACGGTGTCTTTTCGAAGACCTGAACTTTCTCATTGTGATGAAGATCCATTAATCGGTTTACTCTTCGACGCGTTGTGTCGTAGGTTTTAAGATCGGGGTAAAACAACTTTTCTCCTACGTTCTCCTCTAGCAAGTTTACAGCAGTAGGTGTCACGTGATCCATTTCGAGTTCGTTCTTGCATGTGGTACGAGGCGTGGCTCGAAGCCCAGCTCACGACCCTTGGGCAGCCAGCGTCCCAACACCTGCCGCCGCCGAGGCCGTCCTCGCTGCGCTGGCTTTGCCCCTTTGTAAAAAAGAAAAATGGTCCCTTACGCATCCGCGCGTT